AGACTAGTAGGAATGTTATGTATTGGGACTGGAACATTCCAGGACTGTTTCTACCAGAGACTGGCTGAGCTTGGAGCTCTAGAACAATAGCTCACCAGGACTCTGGAGGCCAATGAAGAATTAATGGTTCTGACAGTGGCCTGTCGTTGGTAGTTGCTTGGGGAAGTGGGTGGAGTCGCATGCTATTTAAACAGGGCAGTTGCACTGGCTTTTCGCTTTTTGTTCTTGCTGAGTCACTAATAAAGGAGAGCTGATCACCAGGCTTGGGGTGAAATTGCTTACAGATTTCAGGTAGCAAAATGCTCTCTGACTCCATGACCACACAGCATATGCTTCACACCAAGCCACACGAACTGCCAGTCCATGTGCCCAAATTGGGCATGAGCCCAAATTCAACCACCAAAAGACAAGTTTTGATAGATTTTATAGATATAACATATGCACTTACTCAGAACAAATTTTCCTATGACACAATTAAATGAACAGGTAGAAATTCACAGGTAAAGTTTTGTAATAAGTATTTCAAAAAGAGTCCTTGAACTGTAAGGATGTGATAGTGTTTCTGCCAGCTGACTCAACGGACCTCCAGTTATAAATCCATTTCAATAATTTTTTCAAGAATCATTCTGGATTCAACATTTCATAAATATATGTGAAACATCCACAAAGTATATTCAGATACAGCAATCCTCAGTGATTCCCAATGGAAAAGCAATCATTTCTTGGAACCTCACTTCAAAAGTTTATACATACATTTTTCCCTTGTTTATACATATTGCTGTGCCACTGCTTTTCATCTTGTGTCCTAGTCCACACATGAGAACATCTCAAACACTGGGCTTTCATGAGAAATGCCTCTGGATTAGGAGAGCCGTTTGCCACACATTTGATTCTAAATTGGGCCCAGCTCTAAATAAACCACACTGATTCGAACTCTTTCTTAGGCTCAGCTATTAAACTTACCGGGAGACCTTGGGGGAAAAGCTAAGGTAAAGATAAACATTGTAAAGGTGGTGGAAGAGGCCCGAATACACATTTTCTGCATTCGAAGCAGGGACGTCATCAACACCTGAAATTACTTGATTTCAGCACTACAGAAAACTGATGACTCCAGGCAACCCTGATCTTGTCAGATCTTGGAAGCTAAGCAGGGCTGACCCTGGCAAGTACTTGGAAGGGAGACCTCTAAGAAATATCAAGGCTGGGATGCAGAGGCAGGCTATAGTAAGCCACCTTTCTGAAATATCCAAGCCCCTCTAGTGTCCCTTTTCTGGCACAGAATATGGGTTGAGGCAGGAAACACTAGAAGGAAGTCCAACTTCTCTCCCCCTTTGGAGAGGTGGGGAGGGGAGTCCTGGCCCAGGCCAAGCCCGCACTCCCCCCAGACCATCCCCCCCCCTCGGCTGCCTCCCCTCCCGTCAGCCCCCGATCCGCTGCAGCGCGCCCTCGCCCCCAAGTTACCACTCTTCAGTGTCTTTCCTTCTTTCTTCAGTGTCTTTTCCTTCCTTCCTTCCTTCCTTCCTTCCTTCCTTCCTTCCTTCCCGGGCCCTTCTTCTGAGCCGCACGGCCTTTCGGACTCACCAGGCGGGGTCTTATCATCAGCACCAGTTTTCCTGGGTCACCAGAAGTCAACTGTGACTTCCAGGCATACACACACACACACACACACACACACAGACAGACACAATATTCACCAAAAAAGAAGAGTGATGACTCAGTGTTTGCCTTAAATTATGGCATTGACCTTTGTGTTCTCCAGCTTGATCTTCACTATTACTTTACTTTAATTACACTCTTAAAAGCCTCATGGACTACAACAGAACAAAGATACACTCAATATAGGGTTGCAAAAAACCTTTGCCGTACAGAAGGTAACATTGCAATCAGAATCTGAAAGAAGCCAACTAATCTTAGATTCGATTGTCATACTAGACTCCGGAATGAGATAGAATAAAGGCAAAAGAAGCTTCTTCCTAGCTTCAGCTCTCAATGTGCAGTCAAATACAATATGTGCTATAGTCTCTTCCTGCAGGTCATGAGCAAATTCTTTCAGAATAGGGAATCCTTGAATAACATCCAGTTAACATCGCTGATCTTCACTATTGTCAAGACAAACTGGAGAGCCAGTTTGGTGTAGTGGTTAAGTGCGCGGACTCTAATCTGGGAGAACTGGATTTGATTCCCCACTCAGGGCTGGCCCGAGGTTTTTTTGCACCCTTGGCAGGGCTACCTTCTGGCGCCCCCCCCCCACTGGCGCGTACCCAAATATGGGTTTGCCAATCTCCAGGCAGGGCCTGGAGAGAAGGAAGTCCAACTTCTCTCCCCCTTTGGAGAGGTGGGGAGGGGGGTCCTGGCCCAGGTCAAGCCCGCACTCCCCAAAGACCAGCCGTCCCCCCTCCCGCCCCCCCCCCCCCCGTCGGTCCCTGATCCGCTGCAGCGCGCCCTCGCCCCCACTCTTCTGTCTTTCCTTCTTTCTTCAGTGTCCCTTCCTTCCTTCCTTCCTTCCTTCCCTCTGCCTGTCTTTTCCTCTCCCCCCCTTTGCTTCTCCCTTTGCCAGACCAGACAGAGGGCCTGGGGGGGGGAGCTTGGAGACCCCGAGCCGCAGGCCCTTCTTCTGAGCTGCACGGCCTTTCGGACTTGCCAGGTGGAGTCTCATCATCAGCACCAGTTTTCCTGGGCAGAAGAAGCCTCCTGTCTCCGAGGTGCGCGGGACCCCTCCAGACACCGAGGAAGAGCCCCTCCCCTCCCGCGGCCGACCTCCCTGGACCCAGGCTGGCCCGCCACAGGATCCCAGTGGCGTTGGCTCCGAAGACGAGAACAACCCCCCCCCCGAATGTGGCGGGATGGGACTCCCTCGCCTCATAAAGGGACAGGAAGCTCCGCGGCAGGGTGGGGATGGGTTGTGCGCTGGTCCTGCAAACATGAGCCAAGTAGTCTCTCCTTTCCACGGGGTGGCGGCCTCCTTTGAAAGGCTCTTCAGGCGGGTTGCCGGGTGGGTCCGAAGCAGCAGCAGGAGCAAGTTTGAGCCCGGGCCCCGGGGACCCCGGCAGCAGGGAGAAAGAGGTGGCGGTGGTGGTCAGGGAGATGCAGGGCTTTTGGCAGGGGCGGGGGGGGCTTTGGCGGGGGGCCCCAGGTCCAGTTTGGCACCCTAAGGGCCAGCCTGCGCTCTAGGCGAATGCCTACTTCGCCTAGCAGGTGAGCCGGCCCTGTCCCCACTCCTCCACTTGCACCTGGCTGGATGACCTTGGGCAAGCCATAGTTCTGATAAGAGCTGTCCTTGAAAAAGAGCAGTTTCTGTCAGAGCTCTCTCAGCCCCACCTACCTCACGGGGTGTCTGTTGTGGGGAGGGGAGGGGAAGGGAAAGGAGTTTGTAAGCCGCTCTGAGACACCTTTGGGTAGTGAAGGGCGGGGTATAAATCCAATCTCTTCTTCTTCCTCCTTTCCACTTTCCCACCTGGTTGTGGTCCTTCTATCCTGCTTCTCTCCTCTCCATATACTGCTGTACCTGGAAGACTGTTAGGCTTATACCTTGAATAAAACTTTTGTTGGTCTTAAAGGGGCCACTGGACTCAAACTTAGTTTGGTGTGGTCTATTTACAGCTGAGCCCAAGTCAGAATCAAATGTGCGGCAGAGGGGAGACTTGCCTAATCCAAAGCCATTTGTTTTTGGCAGGACCTCTGTGTTCAAACCACTTTTTTTTAAAAAATTAATAATTTATTGAAGTTTTCCAATAAACAAATAAACATGTAAAACAAGCAGGACAATAAACATAAATCAAACCACTTCTGGCACACTTAAGATGTAGCATATATATGAAAAAGTACGAATATTTATTAAGGTGTACACGTGTTAAAACTTTCCTGATTAAAAATTGCTTTGTCTAAAATCAGACTGTAAAAGCTTGTCCACTTTACATACAAATGATGGGTAAAAACTTTACAACCAAAGACCATACGCGTTTCGGCCCCTAAGGGCCTTCCTCAATGGTCACTATTATCTATGTATTCTAGACACACATTCAAAGACCTGTTACAGAATTCTAGTATCCATATAATTAAACCAGATGTTGTTTCCTGAAATTGTTCAAAGAAAAATAAAGGGGGGGGGGAGAGAAACATCTTCATTATTTTGTCCAAATGTATAAAAGAAAGTATAATCAGGAAAGTTTTAACACGTGTACACCTTAATAACAATTTGTACTTTTTCATATATATGGTTTAGTCATACCCTGGGTTGAGTTCCCCCCCCCCATTTCCCCCCAGTTTTTGTCACACTTAAGATGTAATCTTTGTTTTCAGTCCAAGACACACACACACACCCCACACACATGATTACTACGGTCCTGGTCCAACCATATGTCCAGCCGGCTTCTTCTAGTGCCATGCTTGCATATCACATGCAAATGATGCTCAGTCCTTCAGGAGGTCCACTGATGATGTGGTATGTAAACATGGGATTACCTCACATACGTGCCTTTCATTGTGTTCGAAATGCCGTGGAAGTGGCACCTGGAGATCTCCAGATGACCAACATCAGTTCCTCCATATAAAAGAGCTGATCTCGAAGATGGATCCGGTGGTATTATACCCTGCTGAGGTCCCTCCCCTCCCCAAACTCTGCCTATCCTGGACTCCATTCCCAAATCTCCAGGTATTTCCCAACCTATAGCTGGCAACCCTATATGGAGCAGGACCAAAGACCAAAGTACCCACCTCGATAGAGGTTTGTTTAAAATAGGGGTCTAAATTGCCTCACAGGATACTTGTAAGGGTAAACTTCGAAGTGCGCAGCTCTGAACTGCTTGAAGGAAGGGTGTAAAAGAACACGTTCCTAGATCGAGAGGCCCCAAATGGGGTTTGTTCCTTTTTACTTCAGAATTCTAATCTGCCATCCTCTATGTTATGAGAAGGCCTTTGAACCTGGTGCAACTCATTAGATCTAGCATGGAGATACCCATTTTCATAGTACTCACATCATCTTATTTTTCTTACCCCGAAAGAGAGCAGAAATCTGCAGAAACAGTGGAAAACATCAAGAGAAGGCACTCCAAACTGATCAATTCATGTAAGTGTATCTTGGCTAAAAAACATGGGAGGCATTAGAGTAGAGAGAAGGAAGACTCCAAAACAGAGACAGAAGAAAATCTGAGAAGAGTATTAAGTACGATCCTATGGAGAAGTCCTGTGTCCCTTTTCTGGCACAGAATATGGGTTGAGGCAGGAAAGTGGTAATTTACTACATGTAGTCATGTCCCAAGGCAGAAGATGGGACTGTTGGCCTGACCAAGCAGGGCTCTTCTTAACTTGTTTGCTATGAAAATGTGCACGGAGAATTCCTTCTGGTTGCTCACATCTTCTCAATCGGTTCATCTTCCAGAGAGTGCAAAAAGCTGTACAGATTAAACACATCTGGGTTTGGTATTCTAACAATGTATCACGTTAAGAGTGTGCAAGGAAAAAAATTCTCCCCCCCCCCCAGATTCGGGTATATTGGACCCCAAAAATATCAGTATTTCCCGGTATTGCTGAATCCCAATGGTATTTTGGATTTGGTAAATATTCAGGAATCCCATTCCCACCCCCGGGTCCATTATACCATTTAATGGGGACCATTAAAGTCAATGGCAAATCTATCCTGGGCAGGGCCGGCCCGAAGTTTTTTTGCGCCCTAGGCAGGGCTACCTTCTGGCGCCCCCCCCCCACCGGCGCGTGCCCAATTATGGGGTTGCCAATCTCCAGGCAGGGCCTGGAGAGAAGGAAGTCCAACTTCTCTTCCCCTTTGGAGAGGTGGGGAGGGGAATCCTGGCCCAGGTCAAGCCCGCACTGCCCCCAGACCAGATGGAGGGGAGTTTGGCACCTTAAGGGCCTAGTTCGCCTAGCAGGTGAGCCGGCCCTGATCCTGGGGTATATTCAGTGGTCTGGGGTGGGGTTTGAGGTAGAGGCACCAAATTTGCAGCATAGCTGCAGGGAAATTTGCCACATGGAAGCCCCATTGCTTCAGAACACATAAGATTTTATTTTTTTTTCTTCACAGCACAGCTGCTCTATCAGGAATACAGTGATGTTGCACTGAACAAGGCCATTCAAAACCAGAAAAGAGCAGATTCCTTGTCCGAAGAACTTGAGCTTGCATCCCCAGGATCTCGAAACTCCCCAAAATTAAGAAGGAAAGCACCCTATTCCCAAGATTCCTGCCTACAACGCCTGTCCGTCTCATCCAGCGCATCCCTCTGGCAGGACATCCCCATGGTCCGAGGGAGCACCATGCTGCTAAGCATGACTCGTGAAGAGCAGAAGTTGCAGGAGGTATCAAATAAAGATTACGAGTTACATTCAGCACAAAATGTAGGCTTTCACTAGAGCTCCTGCACAAGAAGAAATGCAAGAAAAAAACCCTGCAATAACTGCTTGCACTAAGCCAAGCTTATTGCATCTGCACTTGTGCAAGATCACATGCAACATACTTCTGAAAAGTGTAATATATGGGAGGAAAGTGCTGGGTGTTGCACATGGCCTTGAGCAAGTGCAACTGTCCTAAATGTTTCCACTTGTGCATCACTGGGTCTAAGGCTACAAGTAGAGTACACTGGTAGAATATTTTGATAAATCAGTACAATAGCAATGAAAAGTCTATGTCGTATTACATAAATTACATATACATTTTGCGCTGCATGTGGTGATAAAGCCCCTAAAACAGAGGCGCAAGGCTGCAGAAATATCTCTGATGAGTTGCCCTGGTCTGACTAGACAGAAGAACAGCAAGGTGTGCAAAAAGAGCTAAGAAAAGAGAAGGAGGACTGGAAGTGGGATTGATCCAGTGTGCGTCATTAAGCTAAAAGAAAAACTCAATAGCATACTATAGGGCTGCCAACTTTGGGTTGGAAATTCCTGGATATTTGGGGATGGAACCTGGGAAGGCAGGGACTTCATTGGGGTGTTATGCCCTAGCGCAGGAGTGTCAAACATGCGGCCTGAGGGCTGGATCAGGTCCCCAGAGGGCTTCTATTAGGCCCGCAGTGGAACTGGCTGTCTTCTGCTTCTTCTTCCAGTTCTGCTGCTGCTGTGTCATCATAGGTTTGCAGCTTACAGATGCTCACCTGAACAGCATACTCAGGATTGCAACAGCACAGACATTTTGATGCAATAATTCAGAGCAAGAGTTGTCAGTTATCAGACACTGTTAAATAGACAAAATATTGCAAGAGTGCTAATGTTTTAAGCATGTTTTTATTTTAAGTCAAAAAAACCTTTTGTGTTTGTGTCCTTTATGAAGTATATATCTCTGCTACCTGGTATTACATTTTATGACACACATGGCCCAGCCCCAAAAGGTCTCATTTATGTCAGATACAGCCCTCATAACAAATGAGTTCGACACCCATGCCCTAGCGTCCACCCTCCCAAGCTGCCATTTTCTCCAGAGGAACTGATCTCTATTGTCTCAAAATCAGTTGCAATCCCTGGAGATCTCCGGACTCCACCTGGAGGCTGGCAATCCCACGGTACCAAAAACTATGCTACATAAAATTACAGCCTAAATCTATGCATGCTTACAAAGAAAATTCACTGCGTTCCATCAAACTTCCTCCCAAGTAAGTGTTCTTGCTGTCCATAGGACTACAGTTTGGTACAGAGTACACAGAAAACAGCGATGTGATGCCAATAAATTGGTTGAAGTAACCGAAATGTGGTAAATTCAAGTGAAGAAGTTAGAAAAGAACAAATTGGGGGTGGGAATTTAAAACGCTAGCAGCATATAGCCCTCATTCTGGGCAGGCTTGAACAGACATCCAGGTCTGTACATCGAGGTACTTTTAACACTTTTTTGGGGGGTTAGTGATTGAGGGTGATTCTCCATCTGCAAGTTTTGATGGATTATTTTGGCACTCCAGGCATCTCTTCTGATGCTCTGTGAACAGATACCAAGAAGAGCAACTATAGCCTCCCTTTTTGTTGTGGAGGATTTCCTTTTCCATCTTCCTCTGTTCCAAACAATTCATTGCTTCAAGACATGCTCTGAAGTTCAGTTCCCCTTTTGTTCATGTGCAGGCCAAGTTTGAACTGATTGCATCAGAGGCTTCATACCTACGGAGTTTAAATGTGGCCGTGGATCATTTCCAGCGCTCCTCGGAACTCCAAGCAGTCCTGACAAATCAAGACAAACAGTGGCTTTTCTCCCGCCTACAAGAAGTACGGGATGTTAGTGCCAAGTAAGTTCTGGTTTTTCAAATCTCAAAAGCCACAACAGATGCTCCCGTTCTAGCACTGAACGACTCAGGCCAATACAAGCACCAACAATTGGTTCTCAAAGGCCACGAGTGTGGAGGTTTTCATTTAGCCATCATGGCTAACAAATCTAAATCCTTCATATTATGATGTGAAAGATTACCCCTAGCCTAAAAAACTCTCACTTTTTTGGCACAAAACATGGATTCCTCTGTTTATATATAGTCTCGAAAAAACAGGTATATTCCATGATGCAAACACATTTACTTTTTAATGTTGATGTCTTTAATGTTTTCTTATGTGTGATAACTTTTCACTTGGTTGCATGCCCACTTTGAGTGCCTTTTGTCAAAGGGGGTGAAGTATACATAAATCAAATAAGTACATAATAAACATTTATGAATAAACAGAGCATCCCAACCAGTCTACCAAAAATTACCATAGACAAATCCTGTCACTGTGACCCGCTGAACTAAATGAGAGCCAGTTTGGTGTAGTGGTTGAGTGGCGGACTCTAATCTGGAGAACCGGGTTTGATTTCCCCCTCTTCCACATACAGCTGCTGGGTGACCTTGGGTCAGTCATAAGTTCTCTCAGAGCTCTCTCAGCCCCACCTACCTCACAGGGTGTCTGTTGTGGGGAGAGGAAAGGAAGGAGATTGTAAACTGCTCTTAGACTCTGAGGTGAAGGGCGGGGTATAAATCCAATCTCTTCCTCTTCTTCTTCTTGGAGTGGAAAGGTTACGGACTGAATCCTGTGCCTCTTGTATGGAAAACTTATCTTCTACCACTGTTTTATAGTCTTTTCCCAAGAACGCCAGCATCCATGCTAATTAAGCACAGGTGCAGTCAGGCAAGCTCACCAGCCTTAGCTCCATCTTCTGTAAAGCCACCATGCTTCGCTAGGGCCTTTATGACTTGCAGGTGGGACTCTTCAAAACAGGATTATGGTTAACAAGAACACAGAGCTATAATTGCTTCATGCTAACAGTAGTATCCTGCTTTCCCCCCCATGATTCCTTGGGGTGTTCCTGCAGTTTCCTCTTTGATTTGGAGGAGAAGCTTGAGGAAAACATGTTCACCTTCAACGTGTGTGATGTAGCTCTGAACCATGCGCCGGAATTTCGCCGGGTTTACCTGCCGTATGTGACAAACCAGACCTACCAGGAGCAAACCTTTCGGAGGCTACTGTAAGAAACCTGATGATGTTCCCTTCCCTGATTTTGTTCTTTGCATGGCTCTATATAAATCTGTCTTTAGGCATCCCAGACGTAAGACATTCCCCCTTAAGTGTCCCCATAGGTTTTTTGTGCAAGGAAATATCTTATATTTGCAATAAGATTTTACCATTAGATGAAGAAACCTGATAGTCCATCCTAACCCGGTCTAGTCAGACTTCAGAAGCTAAGGGTCAGCCCTGGTTAGTACTTGGACAGGAATCCATCAAATAAGTCCAAGGTTGTCACACAGAGGCAGGCAGTGGCAAAACCACCACTGTTCATCTCCTGGCTTGAAAACCCCATGCAAAGTCATCATAAGTTGGCTGCCACTTGATGGCACTCTTCCCCACCATCATTAGATGGATCTCATTTTAAACAGCTAGAACAAAAATGTCACACCACTTAATTTATACTGGAATTGTGAATTAGGGACTACTGGTTCAGATTTAGAAATGTTGCCTGGACATTATCAAGTAAACAGTATACCACACCCTTTGTTTTATTCTTCCTTTTATGGAAGTATGAGAAGATTGTTTCTGGAGTACAGCCTGATAACCTCCAAGGACTGAATATTAATCCAGTAATTAAAGCATGTGGTAACAAAAAGCTGAACTTTAAGGTCTGACTTCCTCCAAGGGCTGAGTATTAATCCAGTAATTAAAGGATACAGAAAGAAAAAACTGAACTTTCAGGTCTCTTTTTAAAAAGTGTCTGCTTCTTTTAATCCTGAGCTCTGTAGACTGAGCTACCATCCACCCATTCAAAATAGGGTTGCCCTAAAATTTTGGTTAGATTGAAGTATGGTTAGGTTGAAGCGGATGATTACAGCATTTGCTTGAAATACCAGATCCAGTAAGCTACTGCTGCTCTGCCTCAAAGAGGTGGCCAAATTTTGGGGTGGGGGTGGAAATGTATCACAAGTCAAAGCCACAGTATGAGATACTAGTATTCTATGGTGCACTCTAATACATATGCATAGTATACTCCTGCCCAGGCATAGTATAGTCTTGCCTCTAATGTACTTTTTATAACAGGAAAATGGCAGCTGTAGAGAGCTGCACATACAGGCAGGAACTCAGGGCCACCTCTGTGTCACAACCAGTGTTCCCTCTAAGCTGAGTTAGTGTGAGCTAGCTAAGTTTTTTAGCCTCCAGCTCACACTTTTTTGCCTTAGCTCAGGAAGGATGGCTCCAGAGCCAACTAATTTATGCAGTAGCCAAATCGCTCGCTCACAACTTTAATGCCAGTAGCTCACAAAGCAGAATTTTTGCTCACAAGACTCCACAGTTTAGAGGGAGCATTGGTCACAACCAGGCTAGTTGCAGAAGAACACAAAAAACATTCATGTGTAGGAAGATGTCTCTCATCTGATCCCTCCTTTCTCTGGCAGGAATGGTGTTCCTCCCTTCCAGCAAGTCTTGGAGAAACTGGAAAGTGACCCAATTTGTCAGCGCCTCTCCCTCAAGTCTTTCCTCATCCTCCCATTCCAGCGCATCACACGACTGAAACTCTTGCTCCAGGTGAGAGTGCCGGGTTACACGGGCCTCACCGCTCAATGCATCATCCACTGTCTAAGTCTTAATGAGAATGGTGAACAACGTATGCGCCACAAAATGGTAGTTTTCTTGGGAATTAACACTGTTAAGCAGTGACTGGGTAAAGAATGGGCTCTGGCTTTTGTATTCATTGCAAGAAAACCCTTCTCACATTCTTACAAATATATATGAGCTATTCACATTTGGTAGTATGAAATATGTATTTTGCCGTGTACAACTCAAGTACTTTTGTGTATTAAAGGGAGGGCTTCATTCTTAGGAAGAGGTCTCTTCCAGCCCTTCTGTTGAAAAGGGACAGTTTGAGTGCAAAGATTAGGGACTGAATCCTGGGCCTCCCGTATGGAAAACTTCTCCTACCACTGCTCTATAGTCCTTTCCCAAGAACGCCAGCATCTGCACTAATTAAGTACGCTGAAAACTTCAGCACAAGTGCAGTCATCCAGCAAGCTCATCTGCTTTAGCGCCACTGATACAACTGGCACGGATCACGGTGGTAAGAATAAATACATGGGGGGGGAAATCATAACACTGTAACAAAGACTATAGATCCAATAACAATCTTGAAAATATGTCTTACATTCAAATCAGTTACAATCTTCCATCGAGTATATAGCATAGAGCAATAAGGAACTAGTCAATTGGTACAAATAAGGTTTTCTACCATGCAAATATGTGGCTAAAAAAATATAATCTAAAGTCCAAAACTTGATTCTCTTGACTACATGTAGAAATAGACTAGATATTCGCAAGAAATTCAGGGCAGGATTCAATAGATGTCCAGTAAAAAAATCTGTTTCAAAAGATCTTTGTCAAGAATCACCCATATCCAGATGAAATTTCAAATGGAATCAAGTAATCCATCACGCGTTTAGCACAGTCAAGACCTTTAAAGCGGATTGCCTACCCTCACGTGTTCGCATAAACGTCTTAGTCTTCAAAACATCCCTAAGACATTTATGCAAACACATGAGGGTAGGAGTTCCGCTTTATAGATCTTTACTGTGCTAAATGCGTGATGGATTACTTGATTCTATTTGAAATTTCATCTGAATGTGGGCGATTACTGGACATCCATTGAATCCTGCCCTGAATATCTTGTCTATTTCTACATGTAGTCAATATTCAAGAGAATCAAGTTTTGGACTTTAGATTTTATTTAGCTGCATATTTGCATGGTGGAAAACCTTATTTGTACCAATTGACTAGTTTGTTATTGCTCTATGCTATATACTCGATGGAAGAGTATAACTGATTTGAATGTAATACATATTTTCAAGATTATTATTGGATTTACAGTCTTTGTTACCGTGTTGTGGTTTCTTCCCTTGTATTTATTAGCTCCACTAATTACAAACTTCTGATCCCATCAACTTGGCCGTCACCTGGCAAAGCTGATCATGAGCACTGTGCCCTGCTGAGCACCTTTGGGCCTGCATAAGAACATAAGAACATAAGAGACGCCAATGTTGGATCAGGCCAAAGGCCCATCCAGTCCAACACTCTGTGTCACACAGTGGCCAGAAATAACAGTGCCATCAGGAGGTCCACCAGTGGGGCCAGGACACTAGAAGCCCTCCCACTGTTGACCCCCCCCCAAGCACCAAGAAGACAGAGCATCACTTGCCCCAGAGCCCCTAGCTATACCTTGTGGCTAATAGCCACTGATGGACCTCTGCTCCATATGCTTATCTAATTCCCTTTTGAAGCCGTCCATGCTTGTAGCCGCCACCACTTCCTGTGGCAGTGAATTCCATGTGTTAATCACTCTTTGGGTGAAGAAGTACTTCCTTTTATCCGTTCTAACCCGACCGCTCTGCAGTTTCATGGAGTGCCCACGAGTTCTTGTATTGTGAGAAAGGGAGAAAAGTACCTCTTTCTTTACCTGCTCTTTCCCATGCATAATCTTATAAACCTCGATCATGTCACCCCTCAGTCGTCTTTTCTCCAAGCTAAAGAGCCCTAAGCGCTTTAACCTTTCCTCATAGGGAAAGTGTTCCAACCCTTTTATCATTCGAGTTGCCCTTTTCTGCACTTTTTCCAAAGCTATAATATCCTTTTTAAGGTGTGGTGCCCAGAACTGCACACAGTATTCCAAATGAGGTCTCACCATTGATTTATATAGGGGCATTATTATATTGGCTGATCTGTTTTCAATACCCTTCCTAATAATCCCCAGCATAGCATTGGCCTTCTTTATTGCAGTCACACACTGTCTCGACATTTTCAGTGAGTTATCCACTACAACTCCAAGATCTCTCTCTTGCTCAGTCTCTGCCAGTTCAGACCCCATCAATGTGTATTTATATTTAGGATTTTTGGCTCCAATGTGCATCACCTTGCACTTGGCCACATTGAACCCCATTTGCCATGTTGACGCCCACTCGCCCATCCTTGACAGATCCCCTTGGAGTGCCTCACAATCCTCACTGGTTTTCACCACCCTGAACAACTTTGTATCATCCGCAAATTTAGCCACTTCACTGCTTACTCCCATCTCCAAATCATTAATGAACAAGTTAAAAAGCAGTGGACCAAGTACTGATCCCTGCGGTACCCCACTGCTTACCACCCTCCACTGAGAAAATTGCCCACCTACACTCACTCTCTGTTTTCTATGAACTAGCCAGTTTTTGATCCATAAAAGGACTTGTCCTTCTATCCCATGATTTTTGAGCTTACTTAGGAGCCTTTGATGAGGAACTTTATCAAAAGCTTTCTGGAAGTCAAGGTAAATAATATCTATTGGATCCCCCTTGTCCACATGTTTGTTCACCCCCTCAAAGAACACTAACAGGTTAGTGAGACAAGATCTTCCCTTACAGAAACCGTGCTGAGTCTGCCTCAATAGGTTTTGTTCATCTATGTGCCTACTAATTCTTTCCTTAATAATGGTTTCCACCAATTTACCCGGTATCGACGTCAGACTGACTGGCCTGTAATTTCCCGGATCTCCTCTGGAACCCTTTTTAAAGATGGGAGTGACATTAGCTACCTTCCAATCCTCAGGAATGGAGGCAGATTTTAAGGAAAGATTACATATTTTTGTCAGGAGATCCACAAGTTCACATTTGAGTTCTTTCAGAACTCTCGGATGTATGCCATCTGGGCCTGGTGATTTTTCAGTTTTTAAGCTGTCTAACAGCTGGCTGTGCTACAGGGCCAGATTGCTGCAGTTTGCATCTGCTTTGGCTCAGTCTATTATGAACTAAACCATCTCATTTTCCCGAGAGGAGGCCATATCCCCCAGGGTCATTAAATTGATCAATTTACAGATGCATCCTTTAAATGACAATGTCAGATTGTTTGGCTGTCTCCCTCACCAAAAGCCTTTTGTTTCTGTTTGTCAGAACATACTGAAAAGAACACGGCCTGGTGCTGACGAAGAAGTCCAAGCCACACAGGCATATGATGCTCTTGAAAAGGTAACGGACACCAAACCCCATCCTTCCATCATCTCTGTTTACCCCATGCAACACAACAAACTCACGTTGCTTAAAAATTCTCCCAAGCGTACTAGGTCACAAATGTCTACTAGAAGCTGAAGTAACTATTCTCTGATTTTGAGGAGTTGCATTCCCTAGCGACCACGCCTGCCCTTCTCCCGCTTCTGTGTGTTTTTCCTCATCAATGCCTGCCTGAAAAAAATACTATGGAGGTGGTTCCAGTCTAGACACAGGGTTGAATGCAGACTAATCTTCCAGTGGTAGAATGGAACTTTCCTGACTTCCCCCTCCCACTGTAGCCCACTGATCTCCACTGACCTGCTGGACCCCTAATAACTGCTCAGCCGATTGCCCCCTTTTATGACGTCTAAAATACTTTACAGCATCTGAAGCAGACCAGCAATACCGACACACAAGATTAGCATTTTTATTATTGTATCTAGTTTTAATATCGTATTTTAAAGTTGTATTTATTACCCATATGTAATTTGGAAGTTTATCTGTTGGTTAAGACGTTGAACTGCAGGCTGTGGAAGGTCGGTAGTTCAGCAGTTCGAGACCCGAGTGTGCTGCATGACGGAGTGAGCTCCCGTCTCTAGTTCCAGCTCCTGCCAACCGAGCAGTTTGAAAGCAAGAAATTGCAAGTAGATAAATAGGTACTGCTTCAGTGGGAAGGCAACAGTGCTCCGTGCGCCTTGGTATTTAGTCATGCCAGCCACATGACCACAGAAATGTCTTCAGACAGCGCTGGCTCTTCGGCTTTGAAACGGAGATGAGCACCGCAACCCTAGAGTCGGATTCAACTGGCTTTCGAGCAAGAGAACCTTTACCTTTAGCTGCCCTGAGTCGGCCTCGGCCGGAAGGGTGGGATAAAAGTTTAACGAATAAATAAATAAAAATGCTGTTCCTGCACAAAAGCAGACCCCGAGGAACGATATGAGGGGGATCTCCAATGGGAAGGGTTAATTGGTGAAAACTGCCAATTCTGCTCGGAATTAACCCCGTAATCATGTGCAGCGGTGCTTATACACAGGCTGGAAAGAGGGTAAATGGAGGGCATGGGGGCTCCTCATTTCTAAACGCACACAGCAACACAGACATGGTTCATATCCAGTCTGTGCAGTTTTCAGTCTCACAAGGGAAACTGGTCAATCTCCCTTGTTAGAATCATAGAGTTGGAAGGGACCTCCAGGGTCATCTAATCCAACTCCCTGCACAATGCAGGAAATTCACAACTATCTCCCCCCCACACACACACACACATCCCCAGTGACCCCAGCTCCATGTCCTGTAGATGGCAAAAAAAAAAAAAAAAAAAAGGATCCCTGGCTAAACTGGCATGGAGAAAAATTGCTTCTTGCCCCCAAAGTAGTGATCGGCATTTCCCTGGGCATGTGAGAAATGGCCACGAGAACTAACCACTGAGGCAACCCATCCTGCCCTCCCTCTCATGATCTGCCTAAGTTCACAGAATCAGCATTGCTGTCAGAGGGCCAACTAGTCTTTGTCTGAAAACCTCCAAAGAAGGAGAGCCCACCACCTCCCGAGGAAGCCTGTTCCACTGAGGAACTGCTCTGTCAGGAAGTTCTTTCTAATGTTTAGTCGAAAACTCTTCTGATTTAATTTCAGCCCGTTGGCTCTGGTCCGACCTTCTGGGGAAACAGAAAACAACTCTGCACCATCTTCTCTATATGACAGCCTTTCAAGTGCCCGAAGATGGTTATCATATCCCCTCTCAGTTGTCTCCTCTCTAGGCTAAACATACCCAGCTCCTTCAACCTTTCCTCATAGGACTTGGTCTCCAGACCCCTCATCATCTTTGTTGCCCTCCTGTGGACATGTTCCAGCTTGTCTATGTGCTCCTTAAATTGTGCACGTTGTCAGCGTAATTTTCGTCATCCCACCATATTTATTTATTATGTGGATTTATAACCTGCCCTCCCCTGCAAAGCAGGGCTCAGGGCAGGTAACAACAATAAATTAAGTAAAAAAACCTTTAAGAATTAAACCTTTGATCCAAGAAATAAAGAAATGTCCAAAAATCTCCTGAAAATCCTCTAACAGAGCCAACAGAATCTGGGAATTTTAGGTTAATAGGAAGCTTTTCAAAATATTCCGGATGCTGGACCATACTTCATGCAGATAAGTTGCTGAGAATAGCTTTCTGGGTTTTTCTTTCTTTCACTAAGTCACATTTTAACAGGCAAAGAGTGATTAGCACATGGAATTCTCTGCCACAGGAGGTGGTGGTGGCTACAAGCATGGACAGCTTCAAGAGGGAATTAGATAAGCATATGGAGCAGAGGTCCATCTAGGGCTGCCAAATGCCCCCGGGGGGCAGAATCCCCCCCCCCGGTTTCGAGCCCCAATTCCCACTCCCGCGGAATCGGGGCCCGGGGTTTTCCCCTCAAATGGTGTGGCTCCGCCCCCAGCGTCCGATGTCACTTCCGGGTGATGCGGACACGGCGCGCGCACGCGCACGAAGAGGACGCCAGCCGGGAGCCCCCCGCTCCTGGCCAATTTCGATTTGGCAACCCTAGGTCCATCAGTGGCTATTAGCCACAAGGTATAGATAGGGGCTCTGGGGCAAGTGATGCTCTGTCTTCTTGGTGCTTGGGGGGGGGCAACAGTGGGAGGGCTTCTAGTGTCCTGGCCCCACTGCTGGACCTCCTGATGGCACCTGGTATTTTTGGCCACTGTGTGACAGAGTGTTGGACTGGATGGGCCTTTGGCCTGATCCAACATTGGCATCTCTTATGTTCTTATTTATGTTATTTATAGTCCGCCTTTCTCACAGGGACTCAAGGCAGATTACATATAATAGTGAGTCAGTGCAATCAATAAAATGGGATATCCAGTAACCAATGCATTAGGATCTAGAAGTCTGGAAACCACCAGAAAGAACTGCAGCGTAGCATAAGTATTAACATGACATATCAAGCGGTACAAAAATTACATAAATAGGATCCTACTTACAATAAGTTATATGTAGCAGTATAGACCACAGATCCCTAATAATTTATCCAAGTAAGTTTGTGAACTATTTTGTCCATTGCGACTCTATTCCCTGTGCAGGTTTCCAACTGAATGGGATACCCTCAATGATATGACAATGATCTACCTCTGTTTATTTATTTAGATGATAAAGGCAACATTTATTTAACTCTCACCTTCTCAAGGGTCTGTTTCCACCCAGTCTTCAGCCCCTCCCTTCCTGACCGTATCTTCCTTTCCCTAGCTCATCAAAGACTGCAACGAAAATGTCCAGCGCATGAAGAACACGGAGGAGTTAATCTACTTAAGTCAGAATATGGTGTTTGAATGCAAGGTAAAAAACCCTTACCAGGGTTAGCTCTCTTATACCAATCTGTGCCGTATGCAGCCACATGCTTTCCTAACATGATCCAGAAAAACAAAGGGAACCCATCCTCAGTTCTCATTTGTCATGAATTGTGCCTCTTTCTTATGTTACTGGTCCCACTGCCCATCACTATGAGATGACACCTGGCTCGGCAACTGTCCCCACAGGGTGAGTGTGGGGCCAAGAACACCCTGTGTACCACCAGGTCACCACTGCAGTGGGCGGGGTGCAGAGATGCAGCATCTCATGTTACAAAGTCCATGTACTCCCATGCAGACTGTTGACAGAAGTGGTCTGGGAGATCCTAGCCTTGAGCAGCTGGGACCCACGTTATCTTCAGAACTGCCTCCTCTGCTTTGTCTCCCAAAGAGCTTTATGATCTCCTGAGAACAACAGACTGGTGATTCCTGGCCCAAAAGACATCTGGCTGTCCTTGACCAGAAACTGGGCTTTTCCAGACATGGCTCCTTCCTGGTAGAACTCTCTGCCAAGCGACACTCGGCCCCTGCGGGACTTGATGCAATTCCACAGGGCCTGCAAGGCAGACATTTTCTACCAAACTTTTGGTTGAGGACAGCAACGCGCACCATCCTGACAGGCACTATCCTTTCCCCAGATCCTTTCCCATCTTTTCTAATAACCCCCCTTGCCTCTCCTGCGGGGTGGCACACAGTCTGAAAACCGACATGTCAATTTGCCTATGTTAATGCCATCTGAGAACTATTTCATCTAAACTGAATTGTTATTGTGTTTTATTGTCTGACTAGCAGTAAAGCCTGTTGTGAAAGCAATACAACGAGATCTAGAAAGAGGCTCTGGGGGAGTGCTCTGGCTTTGGGCAAACAGTGTCAATTTGCTGTGGTGACCTCAGCAGGGTATAATGACAGAGTCCACTGTTTTCTCCAGAGGAACTGATCTCTGCTACCTGAAGAGCAGTTGTAATTGTGAGTGATCTGTAGCCCTCACCTGGAGATTGGCAGCAATTGTTACCCAGGACAAAGTGGCTGGTTTGGAGGGTGTAGTCTATGGCATTCTACCTGTCTGAGGTCCCACCCCTCTGCAAACCCCACCCTCTCCAGGCTCCACCCCTCAAATCCCCAGGAATTTGTCACCAAGTAGTTGGCAACCCCATCTCCTTCCCAGCTAACCATCAACCTACCATTATCTGCCCCTTTGACTTCAGCTGACTTCTGCCCTCCCTTCTGCAGAGCAGTTGTAATTCTGAGTGCTCTCCAGCCCTCACCTGGAGATTGGCAACAATGGTTCCCTATGTGGGACTGATTGGTTTGGAGGGTGGAGTCTATGGCAGTGTACCTGTCTGAGGTCCCACCCCTCCTCAAACCTCACCCTCTTCAGGCTCCATCCCTCAAATCTCCAGGAATTTCCCATCTGGAGTTGGCAACCCTATCAGGACTGGCCCCAATGTGTTTTCTCCCAAAGGCCAAAGTAGGTGACAGGACCAAGCTTAGTTGCCTACCAACAGGCACTGAGGGGAAAGTAGGGTTGCCAGCTCTAAGGAGGGAAATACCTGGAGGTTTGGGGGGTGGATTCTGTAGAGGGCAGCATTGGGCAGGGGGGGCGGAAGGACTCAGCAGGTATAAT